TTAGTAGACATGGAAGTCTTACCAGAATGGAAGTCATTCTCTGCAGGGTTTCCTGAGAAACAACCAATAACCAGCATGGGGTGTGTGCACGCGTGTGTGTCGGCGTGCCTGTGCGTGTGCGTGTGGAGGGACCTATAAGGGACCGGCTCATGCAGCTACACAGGATGACACATCCCAAGAACTGCAGTCAGCAAGCCAGAGACTGAGGAGAGCCGACGACATAGTTCTAGGCCACGGCCGAGGCCCGAGCACCAGGACAGCCCGGCTCCAAGTACAAAGGCACCCGTGTGGCAGTACTCCCTCTTACTCGGCCTTTCTGTTTTATTTCAGGCCTTCAGCTGATTGAGTGAGGCCCACCCACACGAGGAGGCCGTCATCTACCAAGTCAGATGTTAATCTCATCCAGAACCACCCACAGAGACATCCCCAGAATACTGCTGACCAGATAACTCGGCACCACGTAGCCACTCAAGTTCACACACAACAGTACCCATCAGCTCGGCGTCTCATCCCAGTGCCTGTGACCCACCTGGGCAATAGGGAGGCAGAGCTGTGGCCGACTGCAGCCCCCCCCCCGCCACCTCCCCTACCACCTCCGCCACCACGTCAGAGCCACCTCGCCAGTACGGCCTGGTCTGCGGGGCCCCGGCCCAGGAACGCCCCCCAGCCGCCGGGCCGTCTCGGTGGGGACACGTGCAACCTGGCGGGGCCACAGGGAGCCCTGCAGCCATCAGATCAAGGGCCCCGGGGCCTGGGAGCCGAGCCCGAGAGGAAGTCCCAGCTGACTGCTTATGGGAGCTGCGCCCTCCTCCCTCTGCCCGCCAAGCGGCTCCGGGGGGCTGCAGGGCGGCAGGCCTCGGGGCCAGGGGTCCCCGAGTCGGCTCAGGCACCGGCCTGCTGCTCTTCTCCTGGCCCCGCGGTTTCCGTGGGCAGGAGTCTGGGACGGTGGGTTTCGCCGTCCAGAGCACTGCAGGGGCGGGGCCCACACGGTCCCGCGGGAAATGACATTTGGAAATCGGGCCGTAGGTTTGGCAGAGACCACAGCGGGGCCCCGCGGGGCCACGCTGACACGGCGTGGCGCCTGCATCACAGTTGTTAACCTTTTGCTCCAGAACATGCAGAGGAAAGCTGCCAGAATCCCAGGCAGAATCCGCCTGAGTGGCGGTCAGGCAGGGGGCCAGCGCGGCAGCGACCGCCAGCTCAGACAGTATCAGGAGAACAGGGGAGCAGCGTAAATGGATAGATACAGGGCCCGGCACGCAGCAGAGTCTTTTCCTTTCAAATACCAAACAAACGGAAGAGAGCACGGGGAGGAGCCGCAGGAACCTCAGCAGGCTCCCAGCGGCGGAAACGGAGGGGCGCCTGGGGGCTGGGTGGGTGAGGCGTCGGACTCTTGATTTCGGCTCAGGTTCCCGGGCTCCAGGCCCGTGTCGCGCTCTGTGCTGACAGTGAGCAGCCTGCTTGGGGTTCTCTCTCCCTCTGCCCTCCTCTGCTCTCTCTGTGTCTCTCTGTGTCTCTGTCAAGATGAATAAATAAACTTTTTTAAAAAGGAGGGGGCGGCGGGGCGCCTGGGTGGCTCAGTCGGTTGAGCACCGACCTCGGCTCAGGTCATGATCTCATAGTTCGTGGGTTCGAGCCCCGCGTCGGGCTCTGTGCTGACAGCTCAGGGCCTGGAGTCTGTTTCGGATTCTGTGTCTCCCTCTCTCTCTGACCCTCCCCTGCTCACGCTGTCTCTCTCTCTCTCTCAGAAATAAATAAAACATTAGAAAATTAAAAAAAAAAAAAAGGAGGGGCCGTGCAGGCAGCGCTCCCTGGCCACGCGCAGGCAGACACGGAGCCAACAACAGGTCCCGCTTCCCCAAGCCCTGAGCTCCACGGACCTGGACCAGCAGAGCGTGACCGCCCGCCTGCACGGCCCTGCGTCCTCGTGTGCAGGGTGAGGACCCTCGTGGCCTGGAGGCTGAGTGTGACCAAGCGTCCACAGAGGCCGCCCACGGGCGCTCGGGACACATCAGCTGCCCCACGCGGCTCACAGTCTTCTGAGCTGAAGAGGAAATGAAACGTCACATCACAGACTCTTGATGAAGTTGGTAACAAGGTCGCTGGTGCCAAAATCCATGACGTGGCCAAGGCGACCATGGATCGCGGAAAGCAGTGCTGCCCCAAGTGAGAACCCTGCAAATGTTCCCTCCCACGGCAACGTGGACAGGCAGGCCCACCTCCGAGTCGTCCACCAGGAGTGGCCCAGATGGGCCCCGCCCCAGCAGCCGGCGGTCCCTCACGGCAGCCATCCGCCCGCTTCCTGCAAGTCTTCAGCAGACAGGCGGTTAACCAAGTTCGGAATTTGTTTACGGTTCTCTCTCTTTGAAGGAAAGCTGTTCACGCGGCCCACCTTCCTCAGCCGTGGAAGGGAATGGAGAGCCGATGCGTGGGCGCAATGACCCTAAGCCACCGCGCTCAGGGGAAGCCGTGGGAAGGGCCCCCGCTGAGTGATTCTGTGCACATGAGTGTCCCCAGCAGGGGCACCCCCCAGAGACGGCGGGAGCTCAGTACTGGGAGCCACCACCCAAGCGCACCCGCCAGCGCCTTCTAACAGAAGCCACTCCAGAACATTCCCTCCTGCCGCTCCAGTAAGTCCCGCCCCCACCCCAGGGGCAAACGCTGATTGTGCCTGTCCCAGAAGCCCCCGCAAATGCATCACACGGCTCGGGGTCGGTGCACTCCGGGGCAGCCTGGAAGTCTGTATCCAACAAAACCATGCTGTGGCGATGGAATGCCCAGCATCATCGACTGGAGAGAGAGGCAATTCTGTAACCACGCACAAAAGTTATTTCTCCCTTTCCAGGGTCCCAGAGCGCTTTGCCGCAGAATGTCATCCCTACGCGGTGTGGTGTGTGCGTGCCAGCCTGACGATCGGCACACTGCTTTCCTGCAACTAAAGTGTGCGCCCAGGGGCGCCCGGGGGGCTCAGTCCGTTAGGCCTCTGACTTCAATCAGGTCATGATCTCACGGTCCATGGGTTCGAGCCCCGCGTGGGGCTCTGTGCTGACAGCAGGGAGCCCGCTTTGGATCCTCTGTCTCCCTTGATCTCTGCCCCTCCCCTCTCAAAAATAAATAAACATTAAAAAAATTAAAGTACTTTTGTAAACTGAAATGTCACTTTGTCTTCTGCAAGTCAGAAGGCTCAGGATTCGCGTCAGATTTCGTTATTTTCACAATTATTAGCTCACAAAACAAAACCACTGATTGAGATGCAATTTACGCTACCCCTCTCACAGCAGAAGTATACTCTAACTGGAAAGCATCTCTGGAGCACAGCGATGGGGACTTTTTCCCGTTTACTCCCTGTCTCCACAATGAGTATTACTTGCCCTGAGAAAGTTACTGTTCAGAGCCGAGCCCCCACTTCTCCGTGAGCTCCAAGCGCCCTTGTTCACCCAAGTTCACTGCCGACAAAAGGAGACTTGTTTCCGTGGTTACAAACAGCACATTGATTCACTCTCCGGGATCACGGGGGAGGCCGGGTGTGGCGGGCGCCTGCGCAAGTTGGGGCGCTGGGCCTTGCTCACCCGAAACTGTGTGCCCCCACTCGGCCCTTGGAGGTCTTTGGGGACCCCATGGGGACCTCACCCCCCCACCCCCCCATCCCAGCCCCACTAGACCCCGAGACAAAGGAGGGTGATGCCGCGTCTGGCCACCAGAGGGAGCTCCTCTCACCCAACCAGACAGGAGCCTGCACAGCAGGTGGCTCAGCACCTGCCACACCTACAGAAGTAGGGGGGTCACCGGACGCCGCCATCCTGGGTCCTAGCTCAGACCCCCCCCAAGCCAGCTCCCCGTCTTCTGGCTGAGGGGCTTGGCTGGGGCACCGGCCCTCATGTGGGACAGAGGCACTGGGTCTGAAAGGGCCACGACGGTGCCCGGGGCTCTGGCACCACGTGAAGGGCCCCACAGCTGGGCGGACCCCACCCCCGCGAAGGCAGGAGGGGCCCTGCTGGAAGCCAGGCTTGGCCAAGAAGGCCCTGAAGGTGGATGGGTTCGGGGACCCCGGTTTTCTCTTCTGGCTCCTGCAGAGCTGCGCCCAGGCTCCAGGGGGGGCGGCCCTGCGCACAGGGTCACCCAGAGCCGCCCTTAAGTCAGCTGGCCGAGAGCCGAGTGATCTGGCCGTGGCCACTGCCTGTGGGGCGAGCGTGGCACGTCCTCAGTCCCATTGGGTCCCCCGTCCCTCCCACCTCAGGCTGACCTCAACCTTGAAGCCTAGAAAGAGGGCGCAGGTAGAGTCCATGGCCAAGGCCCCAGCCCCCCTGTGCTGCCACGGGGCCACCAGGCACTCTGGGCAGCTCAGGCCAGCACAGGGTGTCCCCTGCCCAGAGGGCCTGAGGGCCATCCTTCCCACCACGTGGCAGGTCCCGCCTCCACGGTCTCCACTCCGGGTCCTCTCCCTCGGAGCCCAGCAACTCCTGGAGCCTCCTCGCCTCCCCAGGTCCCTGGGACCGAGTCCTCCCCGGGACCGAGTCCCCCCCGGCCCCAGTCCCCCCTTGCAAAGCCAGGTACTGATGGCTCCTGGCTGCAGGGCAAACGGTCTGCGTGCTCTAAGTGTCCTCACGGTGCAGCCGCAGAAGGCTCTCAGGACAGGATGCTCTCCTGCTGCCCTCCCTCCACCCAGGACACCCGCCAGCAGGGGCCCCAGCCCCTGTCATGATGAAACTCAGAGGCTGCTGATGGTCACAGCGGCACTTGCTGCGCGGCAGAATGTACCGGATTCGTTCATCAGCTGACGCTACTGGGGCTGCTCTGGGCTCTTAAGGGCGATGCTGCTGTTGACCATCACAGAAGCGGGTTTGTGCAGACGGTGTTCAGCCCGGTGCCGGGAGGCTCAGCACATGTCCGCTCCCCTCACCAAGCCCGTGGCTCCAGCCCACCTCCCCAGCAACACTGCTGCCCCTCAGTCAGGGCCTCCGCCCTCTGGTTTAATCTTCATTTCCAAATAACATTCAGTGTTATTTCTGATTCTGATTTACATTATTTTTCATAGATGGCATCGTTCTTACTGACTTTAAGGTGGTTTGGAAGTATCCATTGTCCATTTGTGTGGCGTCCAGCCGCCCAGAGGGCCTGTGCGTCCGTGGTGCTGGGATTCCCGCGTCTGTGTTCCCACCTGCTTCCGTCAGGGTCGCTGCTGCACACAGCGCCTGGAGGACGTCGCAGCGCTGAGTTCTGGGGCGAGGTAGGTCATCGGCGGATTGCGGCCGCCCCCTCGGGTTCTTGGAGCACTTGTGAGGGTGGGGGAGCCTCTGCAGTGCTGTGCTGCGGGTGCTCCAGCAGCCCCCGTGGAAAGGCCTGCAGGGAGTGTCCCAGGGAGCGTCACAGAGGCCCGCGTGGAGACTCACACGGAGGGGCGGGCACGGAGCGGTGCACAGGGAGGGGCGGGCCTGGAAGGGCGCACAGGGAGTGGCGCACACGGAGGGGCGCACAGGGTGGGGCGCATGGAGAGGCCTGCACAGAGGGGCCCGCACGGAGCGGCGCACAGGGTACGGCCTGCGGTTTTGTGGGCCTCTCTGCCCGTGGGCCTGCGTCTCCTGCAGGGACACTAACCCTCTCCTCCTCGGCCCTGGGTTCCCTCCCAACGGCTGTACAGGTTCCGACTGATTCACTCTGCCGCTCAGGCTTGTATGAGATCCAGTTCCCGGCCTGCCCCTCGCGCATGTACCCCAGGTCCGTGTCCCTCTGTCCGCCCCCTGCTGTCTGGACGGCTTTCCCGGGACGTCCCAGTGCAGGCCTGTCCCTCTGAGAGCTCAGGGGAGCCTGACCGCTGACCCTCGCCTCCGGCTCTGACGTGGCGCCAGCCCCGGGAGGGTGGGCGGTGACGGCACCCCCTGCCCCGGGGCTCCCGTGCTCCAGGGAACCCTCCACTGTGTCCTCTCAGCTGCTCGATGCACATCCAGTCTCACCTCGCAGTGGTTTCCTGCTGACCTTCTGTGCTTGCTCTGCTCTCACCACTTGCCCCCATTCAGCTGTCCCCGTCCCCATTTGTCATCTACAATCACGGTTGTCAGAACTGAGGCTTCCTTTTCTTATGATTTTTTCTTGCTTCTACCGATACGGTGCTCCTCTATCTCTCATGAACATCTAACCCAGTTGCTGTGTTTGATATGAGGTCCTCATGCTTATTTAGGTCACGCCCTTGGTACATCTGTCCCCGTCACAGTGCCCCACGTGCTGCTCCGGGAAGGGCGCCCGCGCCTCGGGCTACTGTGGCCCCAGGATGCGTGTTCTGGTCCTGGTTGTGTGTCCAGTGAGCTGTCCGTCTAGTTGTGTTTCCTCAGAGCCCGAGGGGGACGGGGACGTGATGCAGACCTGTAATAAGAAACGTATGTTTGCTCTGTGTCCTGTTTCTGGCTCCCTAAACCCCTGGGATTTTCTACGTGATAAGACCCAATAAGGTGTATGATAATGGGGAGATGATGGAAAGCCCTTGAGATAGGACTGGTGGCCAGGGACCCAACCCTGTGATCTGAGAGCGGGAACCTTCGGTCCCACCCCCTGGCCTCTGGGACGAGAGGGGAGGGGAGGGGAGAGGGGAGGGGAGAGGGCCTGGTTGAATCTATCACCAATGGCCGATGATATAACCAATCACGCCTTTGCCACGGAGCCTCTATAAAAAGCCAAAACAGGATGGGGTTGGGGTCAGAGAGCTTCTGGTTGTTGAACTCCTGGAGACTGGGGAGGGGGCTGCTCAGGGAAACCACGGAGCTCCACCCCGGCCCTTCCCTCGCTCTACGCATCTCTGCAGCTCTTGGGCCCACTGTTCTGAGTTCCAGCCTTCAGATAAAGGGCTGATCCTCTAAGTAAAGTGCTCCCTGAGTTCTGCGAGCAGCTCTAGCAAACCAGGTGAGCCCAGGGAGGGGTCACTGGGACCTCCAACCTACAGCCAGCTGGTCAGAGGTTGTCACAGCTGACAACCAGGATGGCCACGGGCATCTGAGCTTGGGGGAGGGGCGGCCTCGCGGGACCAGGGGGCTGAGGCCAGTCCCCAGGTGGATGGTGTCAGAACTGAGGGGACTTGCAGGGCACGTGTGGTGCTTAGCGGGGCCCCTGGACACCTGCGCGCATCGGACGAGGCCGGTGCCTCATCTCTCAGCGGGGCCGGGGGCTGGGGAGGCTGGGTGCACCCCTCCGACACACACACCAAACCTTCACCATCTGCTCCGCGGGGCACTGTCACGCCGGGAGGGGCAAACACTCCCCCCTTAGAAGGTCGACTTATTCACCAGCCTCAATAATCGATAAGTAAGAGCCACGGTACCCAACGGAAGGTGTTTTAATTTCTCACTTTGACCAGAGAAGTAATCCTCCAGCTGGACATGGGCGCGCGCTGCCGGGCGGTCCTGCCTTCCAGGCGAGACCCGCTGTCCCCCGCGTGCCCCGCCCCCTCACCCAGGACCGGCCCCGCCCCCTCACCCAGGACCGGACCCGCCCCCACGCCCAGGACCGGCCCCGCCCCCTCACCCAGGACCGGCCACGCCCCCTCACCCAGGACCGGACCCGCCCCCACGCCCAGGACAGGCCCCGCCCCCTCACCCAGGACAGGCCCCGCCCCACGCCCAGGACCGGCCCCGCCCCCACGCCCAGGACCGGCCCCGCCCCCTCACCCAGGACCGGCCCCGCTCCACGCCCAGGACCGGACCCGCCCCCACGCCCAGGACAGGCCCCGCCCCCTCGCCCAGGACCGGCCCCGCCCCACGCACAGGATGGCCCCGCCCCCTCACCCAGACCCTGCAGGAGCAGCCATGGGGGAAAGACCCCCTGGCGTTCTGGCGTTCTGGAGGGTGAGTCCGAGCCCGAGGAGGGGAGTACCCCGAGACACCTGCGAGGATGAGATCAAGGGGCATGGGGGTCCCCGCGGGAAATTGCCGTCCAGGACCAGGAGCCCCGGGCCGTCCCCGCGGGCCCGGCTGCGGTAGCTGTCTGTTCTGGGCGGAAGTGTGTGCCCCCCCACACTCACCTGCTAAAGCCCATATTCCAGTGTGACTGGATTTGGGGACAGGCCTGGCGGGGCTGCAAAGGTTAAATGAGGTCATAGGGTCCTGATCAGATGGGGGTGGCGCCCTCAGGAGCGGGCTGGCCATGGGAGGGCCCAGCAAGAAGGTGGCCTCTGCAGGCGGAGGGCCGCCCGCCGAACTGCCCCTGCCTGCAGCCTGCCCTTGAACTTCGGCCTCCAGAACGAGGAGTCAGTGTTGTCTAAGCCCCCCTCCCCCAGCTCCTCCCTCGGGCCCTGCCGTGGAGCTGGCCCGTGGCGCAGGCCCCTGCCCATTGGGCTGCTCGGCGGTGTCGCCCCACGGCCACTGGGGCCCCGGGCAGGTCCTGAGAAGGGCTGATGGGCACCAGCAGCTGAGGAAGAGAGACCTTGTGTCTGTGGAATGCAGTCGGCTCTCAGTCCCATCCCCTCCCAGGGCAGGTGACATCCCAGTAACAAAGGCCTTCTGTGCCTTTGGTGAGGTGACCCTGAGGTGACCGGGAGGGCAGCAGCCTCAGGCGGTCACGAGGCCACGACGCCGGCAGGGCACCGGGAACAGGGCGCGGACTTCCCCCTGTCGGGCCACGGGGCCTCGGTGACAGGACCACGCTGCATGCCCCTCTGCTCCGCCTCCTCTGACCGCTCCGTCATCCCCGGCACCGCGCGGACCAGAAAGAGCTCGGGGGACTTGCTGAAGGGGCACGTCCTCCCCAGCTCGCCCCGGGCGCGGGTCCCACGGCCGACTTGTCAAAACGCCTGTGCGTTCACTGCACGTAAATCGTACCTCAAACACACACACCCCAAAAAGCAGTCATTACTTTAAAGTCAGGAAATACTGACCAAAAGACATGAATCCCCAAAGTGTGCTGCGCGCGGAGGCCACCTGGGAATTTGGTGACTTCTGTGAGTAACAGAACACGGTGACATTTCCACCAGGTCTGCCATAATAATTTTAGCGACTGTGACTCAATACTGTGCGTAAATCAAACTTTTTTCAACAAATTACCTACGGTTGGGAATTCGCTGCTTGTAGGGTTTTCCTTTCAACATCGTAACAGTCCCGCCTCAGGCGCCCGCAACTCCGGCGAGTCCGTCTAGTCACGTTCCGGGGTTCCGTCTGTGGCCGCGCCACCCTGAGCCCGCCCGAGCTCAGTTACTGCCTGAGAAAAGTCCCCAGATTGGCATCGCTGGGGCGAAAGGCACCCGGTTCTAAAAGTTCGGGCTGTTTTGTTTTTTTTTTAATGCCATGTGAGAAGCAGTGACTTCAACAGACTCTGGCCCTGCCTCGCAGTTGAGCTTCATTCCCCGGGGGAGCTGGGGGTGCTGGGCCTGCAGGGGCAGGAAGGGCAGTCTCCCCTGCACCCCACCCCCCAGGAAGGCGTCGCTCCTGCTGGGGACCCAGAGGGGCCACAGGCACTAGAGCGTCTGCTCGGGCTCAGAGAGCCGCGGGGCCGCGGAGGCCTAACGGGCTGACGGCCCCGAGACGGGGAGCCCTCGGAGGGCTGACGATCGCGGGGTCCCAGCGCTGGCCGAGGACTGGGCTAGGCCCCGGCCGGGAGCCCCGGGGACGGAGAGAGAGCCCAGCAGAGCTTCCACACGCACCCCAAACACTTGTGCCCTCTTGGTCCAGCCAGGCTCCCAGCTAAGTCTCTGATGAGGCCGGTCCCTAAAGCAAGGCTCGAGAGCAAGACGGCGGCTCAGCACAGGACGGCCCATCCTGCCCTGCTCTGTCCAGACCGGGCTGTGGGCTCCAGCCCCCCCCCCCCAACTGCCCCAGGGCCGCTCCAGCGAAGGGCCAGCTCGGGTGGAACCGCTGCCCACCGTCGCTGACACCCAGACGCCCGTCCACCAGCAGGGGTGCGGCCGCAGCCGGCACGGCCTGCAGGACATGGTCGCTCACGAGAGGGGACTCGCTGCGCAGGCGTCCCTTGCCCTGCTCTACCTGAGAGCCACTAACTCCCTGGAGGCACCCCCGTCCTGCCAGAGCCAGAGGGCGGGGCCGGGGTGGCCACAGCGCCCGAAGGTGAGAGAAGGCCCCAGAAGGGGAGCCCCAAATGCCCCCTGAGAAATTCCCTCAACCCCCCGGAGGCTCTGTGAGGCGCGCCGGCGGGGGCCCGGGTCCAAGGAGCTCAGCTAACGGCACAGAGCCGAGCCCTTACGCAGGACAGTGTTTACGGTTTGAGTCCAGTTCGGTTAACCGCTCAATAAAAGAAATGAATGATCCGGGAGGGAACACCCCAGAACCGCAAGCCTCTCCCACACCCGGTCACGACGGGCCCGCGGAGCGGTGGGAAAGGCGACTGATGCCCAACGGTCGTGCAGCAGCGGGGCAGAGGGCGAGGCGCGGAAAACACCCTTCCCGGGAGAGAGCGCAGCACACCCGAGACCCTCTTCCGAGAGCGAAGCTGGAGGACCCGCACTGAGGCTGCAGGACAGGACCCCAGGTGTAGACGCGAAAATATAGAAAAACGTGAGGAGCCCGTAAACGGATGACACTTGTGGACAAATTCAAACGAAGATAGTGCAAAACAACGTTCGGAATCCCTCGCCAAGTTTATTTTTTTAATGTTTATTATTTTTAAGAGAGAGAGAGGCAGAGCGTGAGCAGGGAAGGGGCAGAGAGAGAGGGAGACACAGAATCTGAAGCAGCTCCAGGCTCTGAGCTGTCAGCACAGAGCCCGACGCGGGGCTTGAACCCACGAACCGTGAGATCATGGCCTGAGCCGAAATCGGATGCTCAACCGACTGAGTCCCCCGGGCGCCCCTGGAGTCTCTCGCTGAGTTTAAAACACAGGTAAACCTATGGGCGTCACAACCGCGACAGAAAACATGTCCGGGTGGGGCGTTTGCAATACACATGTACAGCAAAGCAGCAAAGGCTCGTGTCCAGGATGTATAAATATATAAAGAACTCCTGCAAATCAACAAGAAAAAGATAGACAACCCCATAGAAAAGTGGGCAAGCAGACGCCAGGGGGCTCGCCCAGTAGGCTCCCCCTAAAGGAAGACTAAGCCCAGGAGACAAATGGGGCAAAGAGCACTGGGGTCCCTTGAGTGGGGGCGTGGGCGGGAGGAGAGCCCTGGGGGAGCCTTGAAGCAGGGGTGGGGGCCAGGCTCCCGCCTCTGCGTGTTGCTCACAAGGTGATTGATTCAGATTGCGGCCTCGGTGCACTGTCTGTGTCATTGCCACCTCAGTGAAAGTGTCCTGGGTGGAGCCACGCAAGCCACGTGTCGTTCTGGAAGCAGAGAGACTCAGGAAGCCATGTCCCCGCCGGTTCAGTCTGCCTCTGCCTGACGCGGCTACAGACACGGGAGGGCCCTTCTTTTAGCCAAACCAGCGTCCTTTGTTGTGATAAAACACTTCTCTGAAATTCAACAATTCCTTCTGTCTGAATCCGAGTAAGAGAAATTTGATGTTCGATGTTAGAGTAAAGCTTGAGACAATCACCCTGCTCTGCTCTTCAGGGATTCCCCGCCTCCTCCTCTCCAAAGGAAGATGTCTGGAACGAGGTTTAGCAATTTAACGATGGCTATTTCTTAGTAGACAAATTTAAAACAACTTTTACAGACTCTTTTTGTAATTTTTTACATTATTTGTTATTTTAATGACAAGCATTTTTTTTTAAATAAACCATTTCTTTTGTGCTTCTGGTTTACCCATCACTAACTGGGTAACTTTGAGCAATTTTCTTAACCTCTCTGAGCCTCTGTATTTACAATGTTAACATGGAGATAGTATCACCAAGTTCATGGATTTTGATAAGGATTATATTAGATCCTGCATGTGGACTGTCAATGTGTCCCTCTTCCCATTGTTTTACCAGCTGACCAGGGCGGGGTTGGGAGATAATGCAGAAACATCTAGTTAAATCTGAATATCAGACAAACAACAAATAAATTTCAGTATAAGTATGTCCCACGCCATATCTGGGACATACTTCTATCAGACATTGCATAGGACATACTTTTATACTTATACTAAACAGTATTTATTATTTATCTGAAATTCAAATTTAACTGGATGTCCTGTATTTTTATTTACTAAATTTGGCAACACTACTCAAGGGTGTTGTTGTGCTTTTGTTTACCTGGTTTAACAAGTGCCAACCTTGTGCCCATCACATGGCAGGCTTCAGTAAATATCGGATGGATGTATGGAGGGATGGATGGGTAGGTGGATAGATGGATGGATGAATGGATGGATGGACAGGCAAACAGGTGTATGGATGGATGGGTGGATCAATCAATCAATCAACTGATCGATGGACAGATGGGTAGATGGGTGGATGGACGAGGGCACGGACGGACAGATGGATGGATGGATGGGTCGGTGGATGGATGGATGGACGGATAGACGGATGGATGGATAGGTGGATGGACAGGTGGATAGATGGGTAGATAGATGGATGGATAGATGGATGGACGGATGGATTGATGGATGGGTGGATGGACAGATGGACGGACAGATGGATGGATGGATAGGTGGATGGACGGGTAGATGGACGGATGGATGGACACTGGATACCGTAATGGTTTTAAGACTAAGCAGCCTTAAGGAACCCATGACAGAGCCAGGGTGGAAGCAAAGGAAGTGTCTTCTGATTGGAAGACCCTCAGCCTGACGCACCTGACCATCTCCCACTTTCTCTTCTCAGATTCTGCATCTGTAACATGGAAATGCTCTGCTGTGCCCCAGGGAAGAGGAAGCCCAGTGTGCCGGGCATGGGCCCTGTGTCCCTGACATGGGAAGGCGGGGGCTCCCTGCAGCCTTCAAAGCCTGCCCACCCCCTACCTGATTTCACATAAAAGGTTACCTCTCAGTTCCCAGCACCATGGAGTTTCTGCCAGCCAGCTGCCCTTTCCCATGGCCACGGCCCAGCTTGCCAGCCTCTCCAGGCAGCCCTCCCTCCAGAGGCCTCTTCAGTGCTGATCTCCAGTCAGGTACACCCCTGCCCCCGGGGGTCCTGAGCCCTGGGAACCACATCTTTCCAGGGAGGCCCGCCTCTGTCTGCAGGGGAGGGGCTCCCACCAGGAGGGCCGTGGCACCTGCGCATGTCTTTCCCGCCAGCCTCCCTCCTTTGGAGAGCTGCCCTCTTGTTGAACCAAGGTCTTGTGGGAAGCAGCCCACAGTCCTGGCTGCACCCCGGTCCCCACCACAGACACCGTCGAGGGTGGGAACTCTCTCCGGGGTGGGGCCCCTCATCCCCACCACCCCTTCCTCCGTTGGCGCCAGGAGCAGCGGCTACAGGTGCCATCGTGGGGGAGGGGGGAGACAGGAGGCTGGCGGGCAGGGCTGAGACCCAGCAGGGGCCAGAAGGGCCTTCTCCTACCTCCTGGGACTTCAGCCGG